GTTGCCTGAGGTGGTGGAGTTGCATAGCTTTTCCCCACTCCCTGCACTAGATACAGTCATGGTATAATGGCAGGTCCAGCCCAGGACAAGTTGGTACCTGAGGCAAATCACAAAATGGTACCCCTCAACCAGGGAAGAAGGGACGGGTGAAGATCTACATCAGAAACAAGGGGCAATAAAGACTTACACTGGAAACAAGGTGTGGGGAGACCAGCAGCAGCACCAGTTCCCCAACAGGCTGCTGTAGAGGCCGCATTGCAGGGTGCTGCCGAGGAGGAGACAGATCTGGCTTCCAAGAAGTGTGCAGAGGCGGCGGGTGATTCATTCCTTGGAAGCTGGATCTTCTGCCCCTGTGGATCCTGCTGTCTGAGGTGCCCGCCTCACCTTGCCTCATGGGTGGGCTGGCCCTGGTGCATAGTCCTAATGCAGGTTAATTTATTTTGCCACCTGAGGCAGAAAACCCCGCAAGTGCTTCTTCCCCCTCCCTGGCAGTAAAAATAAGTTAAGTAGTTAACCACTTGCTACCCTTTCATGAGGCCTAAGGCAGCTGCCTCCCTCTGCCTAATGGTAGGGCAGTAAGTTTGCAACAGTTGTTTGTGTACTTTGCATCCAACTGCACCGGCTGTCTTGCTTTGGCAAAAGCACTGGATCTAGCAGCTTTGCCGAAATGTGCCTGGTTTTGAAATTTGAAATCAAACTGCTATGGAGATAGATTTGAAGAATACGGGTAGGGATGGGAAGGGAAAGACAGTCATATCTCTGCTGTCTAGATGTTAAAAATAAAGTCCTTTCTCTTAGTACATTCAAAATATAAGGTTTTCCATATTTTTCAGTGAAAACCTAATGCAAACAATTTGCTCATGCTGGTTGCTCCCATACCCACTATGAAAAGCTACTCTTTGGTATAATGAAGCAGAAGTGTTTCTCCTTTCATCTTATCACTGTTAGCGGGTAATTTTAACCCAGCCTGTTTTTCTGAAAAATATGCTTCTAAATAACCACAACATGCCTCTAAATAACCAGTGTGGCTTACAAAAGCACGATGCACCATCTCATATAGTCTTCTGACTTTCAAAGTCAATGACACATGTGTTCTTTGATTTTTACTACTGTGTAAGAATCACAAGTGTAATTATGCACACGCGTGATGTCGATGACGATACAGTAGGTATTCAGATAATTTTCCTAATGGAAATGTGACCTTTAAAAGTGACCCACTTACACAAGGAATCGGTACTCAGCGCTGATCTGCATATGATCAGGCAGGTGTTGGGTGGGGGTTTCAGTGATGGCTAGGATGTAGAGAACAGAAGCCTTTGATCTGTAGTAATAGTAACGAGAGTGCACTCATTGGTACAACAGAGCACTCAGTGTTTCCTGGGATGCTGGAGCCATTAAAGAAGGCTGTGATTTTGCTCATTAACACAATTGCTGTTATCAGAGTTCTGTACCCCCTAAATCCCCACTACATTATGCTGATGCAATAGACCCAACCACTCTTCTTAGCATGTGAATGAGCAGACTTGCCTTGTGGCGCCTCTGAATTCAAGGCCCAATTAAGTATCTGTATTTCACAGTCAGATAGCAGAATACTAATATGCCACCCACAGAGTGGAAGGAACAAAGGGCACAGCCATGTAATACTTAATTTTCAAAAACAAGAGGTTACAGGACACATGTTTGCCCAGAAGCTCCTCATCTTTAAGGACCTTGTCAAAGAGGATATGCAGACAGAGGATTGGGTTGAGACAAAGTACTGTATATATCGACTGTATATTGAGAACTGTTGAGGAATTATCTTATTCATATTCCACCCTGCATTTTTGAACTTGAGGAGTGTATGTTTCTGAGTTGCTGTCCTCCCTAATTACTCATTGCCTCTTTGTGCCGTCTTCCTTCAAAGATACATTATGCCTTCTCAACCCTTTGATGCTGTGAGTAAGGGCTGAAGTTCTTCTTTGGTGAGATGGTTCCACCACCTCCTGGTCTTCTCTGTCAATTGTCTAACTGATAGCCATACTGAATACTAAACCCATTGGCATCATTTCAAGGTTGGTTTAAGATTATTATTTTTACACATGAGGTGGGAAATCCAAATGCCCTTACTCCCCACAGAAGAAAAAGAACACAACAGCCCAATTAATGTAGTATCTGCTGCCAAAATTAGCCAAGTGAAGCCATTACCCAGTTCTGTTTAATGCTAGGAGTGACCCCACAGTTTCTGTCTTTGCTACAACATGATTTTCAACATCCACCCTCGTGGATTCTAGTTATACACACCATACATTTCAACCACTTTTAAAGTACCTGGCTTCCCCCAGAGAGTCCAGGGAACTGTAGCTTGTTACAGGTTTTGGGAATTGTAGCTCTTTTGGCGGGGGGAAGAGCTGCAGTTCTTATGATTGTGTGTGTGTGTGTGTGTGTGTGTGTGTGTTTAAATGCATGATGTGCATGCAGCCAAAATAAATGAGGACCATGAATTGGAACTGGTTATTCTGGAATACAAAAGGGACGTGGGTGGTGCTGTGGGTTAAACCACAGAGCCTAGGGCTTGCCAATCAGAAGGCTGAGCTCCTGTTTCTCGGTCCCTGCTCCTGCCAACGTAGCAGTTCGAAAGCACAAAGTGCAAGTAGATAAATAGGTACCGCTCCAGCGGGAAGGTAAACGGCATTTCCATGCGCTGCTCTGGTTCGCTTAGTCATGCTAGTCACATGACCCAGAAGCTGTACACCGGCTCCCTCGGCCAATAAAGTGAGATGAGCGCCAGAACCCCAGAGTCGTCCACAACTGGACCTAATGGTCAGGGGGGCCTTTACCTTATTCTGGAATACACCCCTCACCCTCAATTCAGGGAACCTGTGGCCCTCTAGATATTGTTGGACTCCAATACCCATCAGCCCTGGCCATTGTGGGTCAGGGATGATAGTAACTGTAGACCAACAACATCTGGAGGTCCCCAGGTTCACCCTCCTTGCCCTAATTAAGCAACGGTACTATGATGCTAATGGCTTGTGCTCCAATGGAACGAGGCTGCAATTCTATGAACACTTATTTGGGAGTGAGTCCCACCGAAGACAAGTAGGACTTACTTCCAAATGAGTATGTCTAAGATTGAGCTATGCATGTCCAATGTTACTCTAAGGCAGAATACCATATACCTAAAGCATTCCTAGCTCCCCGCTTTCTTGGGGTGTGTACGTGTAAATATCAGAGACTTAACAATTCCTAAGATGTTGATCCTGCTGAGTATCACTTTCTAATCTGGTGTAGATCTATTAATACACCTTGAATGTAGATTTTCAACCAATTGCATATCCAGCTTAAGGTAATTACTCCTTAATGTTTACATATGCAACACATTTCTATAGCATGGCAGGCTAATGGAGAAGATACGGTAGGTGTTTTTAATAGAATTAACTCTAGAAACTTGAACTCATGCAATTTGTTTCCGACAAATCCAGTAAACATTTATACTATGCCAGCTGAGTAGTCAGATTCATTTTCAATATCAGACATGGGCTAAATTGGATAGTTTTCTATTAATGCTGAAAGAAATAGCATAATTGCCACCTGAGTTCAGTGAAATGAATTTCGCATTGTGCTGTTCAATGTAAATACTGCTCAAATCCTAAAATCATTACAATGTAGCCTATAAAAATGCTTTTTTCTGGGAGCAGCAGACCATTTATATTAATATTTATGCTTGCTTAATCTCTTTCCATCAAAAATCGTAGTTATAAAAACAACCTAAAATATGATTGTGGAATATAAGCAGAACTAAATAGCCTCCTATTCAAATGAAGTGTTTTAATGAAATATTTTGCAGAATATGGCTTCCATACTATCAGTATGCTATCAGTAATTATTATCCTTTATTGGGTCAAGCATTTACTCAACACTTGAACTTGAATTGAAAGATACATCTAGGATTAGTTGGCTGCCATTTACTATATGATACAAATAGCAAACACTATCTTAATTTTTCACTAACCTACTTTGTGATATGCTACCTGAGAGTTGAGGAACTTCCAGCCCATGGTAATTTTCTGCAGACCATGCTTCTCTTTCCAGGCTCTCGATCCTCCTTGAGTAGGCTTGCTTGGGTGGGATTTGCCTTGAATTGTGATAATGAGATTTGATGACTCGGTATTTAAAATACTAAGGCTATGATCCTATGGCCCCTGGGAGGGTGTCCCAGATGCCATAGGATGGACTAGATCTTCTCCACTGGTTTTGGAGACAGAAATAGATCTCAGGTGGATCCTAAGTCCTTCTGTTCCTTGGTCATGCCTTCAAACCAGGAGGAAATTTAGGTGTGCTTCTGCGTGAGTCTGAACCTTTCCCACCCCTATTTCTCCCAATACTTCTAATGGGAAGGGAATTCTTTTGAAAGGCTATTTTTTAAAGCTTTTCTTGGGTTACAAAAGTACATACATCGTCTCTATTTTCAGATCATAAAGTCCTTTTTACAGATCAGTTATATTCGATGTGAGACTTTAATGTTGTATACAGTATAAGGTTGGGGGAGAAGAGAGGTGGGGTAAACTTTCATTCCTTTACATAGTGTATGTGCAAGTTTCTGGTGTCAGCATCACGTGGGTAGGTTATCTTTTCATTTATCAGTCTTCATTGGCATTGAGAGAGGTTGGCGGGGCTAGGGCATGGTTGGTTGGCTTCAGTTGACGGCAGTGAGTTTTGTTTGCAAGTGTTTGGCAGGGGGAAGGGGTTGTTGGGTCAAGATAGCCATATGAATTCATATGCTGTTGGTGGGTTCTTGTTGTTTTGTTGGGCTGTGTATGTAATAAAGGGGAGCCACACTGGTGTGAAGGCTTTTCCTTTTTTTCCCTTTTTAAAGCAAAACTCAGAAGCAGAAAGAGGAAAACAAAGCATCCCTCCACTTTCACTTCTGCCCCTCCACTTTTAGGACTGCAGCCTTGGGTGTGTTTATACATTTGTTACCCACTTCAGTTCTTGGACAAACTAAAACACACAGACATTTAAATAACCCTTTCTGGTTTGTCCACCTCTATAGGGTTAAGTCTCTGATGTTTAATAGCCACCTAACTTTTAATATAAGAAATGACATTAGTGTCATACATTTTCTGAATGACATTTTGGAATAGCACATACTGGTAATAAATGCATTGTAGTTTGTTGACACATATACCCACAGGCACCTGGAGCCTTAGTAGAACATAATTACGAACAAAATTACATTAAATAAAGTGACATGCCTATCACAAATCAAAGATTACTCATGGTGTCCTACCCAACAACAAACATTTAATATAGAATCTCCAGCTAAAACAGAGACCAAGTTAACACTTTCTTTAAGGAAAGCTACAGATGCACAACTAAAAAATGTAGAGATCTGCAAAAGGCCAAAACAAGTTTCTTTGTTAATTGACACCCATTGAACAAGTCCCTTTTAATAGCAGCAACAACTATAATGAAGAAGAACGGCTCTACAGATTTTCACTCCAGATCAGAACCCATGGTGCACATGAGGTCTGTAGGCTGATTCAGTTTTTTCCTTTTCCACTATACATTTGGGTGGGTGGGTGACAAAGTGAAAATCCAGGGTGCCTGCCTCAACCTTTATGTCCCAGGCCATTCACACATGGCTTCATAACAATATTCATGCTTAACTTGCAATGCACATAAGCATGATCCTGGATTTTATCACACATAAAGAATGTGGCCCAGATAAAGGCATCATCCAGTTCAGCTGTGTGAACAAAGGCTGCTGCTAAAGTCAGTATCAGGGCATTGTGATTCATAGGGGTGAGCAACGGTAGTGGGGTGGGCGGGCTGTAGTTTCATTTTACCATTCGTTTTCATTTTTAAAATTACATTCATTTCTTTTCCCTCTTGTTTGGATTGTTTGTTTGCTTCATTCATTTTTGTTCTTTTGGTTTTTGCCTCATTGTTCCACTTTCAAACCAGGAAGGGAATGTAAAGGCGAGGATTGGGGCAAGGCAAGGCTGTGATGAGGTTGAGGATGCTCTGATGGCAGTGGCATCCTGCTGCCACCCCTCTGCCCCTCCGACCTTGCCTCTGCCTTGCCCCCACTCCACCGAAGTGAGTGGTAGTACTGCTGCTATGACTCACCGCTGTCACTCCGCACCCATCACAACACTGCTGCCCATCTTCCCTGTTGGTTTTCAGCACAAAACAAATGGAATGCGTTCATTTTGTTTTTAATTCATTTTTTTTATAAAAATTAATCCCTTGTTGTGAGATTATCCTTCTGAAATCTGGCTCATGGGACTCAGATTGTAGGACTCCAGATGGCAGGCTTTCTTTCAGAAAAAAATTATTTATAGGAAAAGAGGGACGTAATCTTGTTATGTTTCAGAAACTTACATTAATTCTGCCTAGCAGATTTCCTTTTTGACTGGCACAATGTCTCCAGTGCAGCTTTAATCAAAAGTTTGAATTCCTGATGAAAATCTTGCATGCTGTGCCTGACTAGACAGCTTCCCACAAGACTTCCTGGTGGCCAAGGGTGCAAAGGACAGGGCAGGGTTTCCCCTGTACTTGACTCACTTCAAAGGATGGTGTCTGAATTATTTCAGGAAACACACTTGCCGGAAGTGCTATTTTTCTAGAAAAAGAGGTGCCAGAACTGACCATGAGCGCTTCCTTTGTTTTCTTATAATGGCAATGGTGCCCACCTGAGAGGTGTCTGAACTGGGTTCTGGCGAGTTTCAGTTGAAGAAAGGCCCTGCACTTAGTTCCAAAGAGTCCTATTGTATTTCTTCACTTGTGGTACTGTGGAGATATGCTTAGCTCAACACAGCATGGTAATAAAGCAGCCATCTTCTGCAGTGGAAAGGCAAATCCCCAAGGTCTGAAGTTCATCAGCACCAATGTGATTTCTAAATAAAAACAACACCTAGCTAGATCGCTTTAGAGAAGGGATAGCTAACATGGTGCCCTCCACATTTGTTGGACTACAACTTTCATCAGCTCCAGCTAACATAGTCAATGGCTATGGTTGATGGGAGTTGTAGTCCAACAAGATCTGAAGGGCACCATGTTGGTGGCCCCTGCTTCAGAGTGATGTTAAGATACCTGTAATCCTCAGAATAACCCTGAAGAATAGGCCTGTATTATCATCCTCCTATTGCAGATGGGGGTGTCATGGCTGAGAAAGAGTGGTCAAACTGAGGGACTACCTGTAGCTCTCTAAATTAGGTGGAAGCTGCAGCTGGGCAGCAGAAGACGCAGAGGGCTATTGGCTTCATGCTCTGCTTGTGTGCCTTCCCACTGTGCGAAACAGGATGTGACCTTTTCTTTTGTTCTCAATGGCTGCATCAAGAACTGTGGAGGCCACCGGGCAGGTATAACAGCCTAACTACTGAAACGTAAATGCATCACAGTTTGTATATGCAGACAGAAAGATACAAGCAAAAATTATGCAGGCATTTGTGATTCAGCAGGTCTCTGAAAAGAGCTGAATACGATTTAAGAAAAATAAATGTGTGAACTTTGAAGGGCCAATTGAGAAAATACCCACTATTTTCAAAATTACAGTGTTTGTATGTTTCACCAAACTTGTGATTTAATGGGAAAGCTAGCTAGAAAATTCTTAAAGTGCTTTTTAATGGTTTTGACTCGTGGGGCAAAGCATATACATCTAAAGTTTAAAATGATTATTTCTAGAAGAGACTTCTATTGCTGACGTTTCTCTAGGTCTTTGCCACTGCAATGATGCTTACCTAAGCTTTTCAAGAAACACCGCAATATCAGAATGCAGTTATAGATAAATAATGTGGAAAAATAATTATGCCATTGAGATTACAATTTAGTTCGGGTCCCTCCAGAAGCCTTTGCCAACTTGGTGCCCCTCTGTATGTCTTGGAGTACAAAGTTTTTATCTCCGTTAAAAAAGACACAATAAAACACAACTTTAAAATGGAATGACTTATATAAAATAAAGGAATATTCAATAATCTATTTGAATATAATAGTGCACAATAAAATTAACTCTCAAAACACTAGCAAATAATAATTAAACCGAAATTCACTCTTAACAATTACAATAAATAATTACTAAACTATGATCGATAAAAGTAACTGCAAGTCACAATGCATAAAATACCATAATAACTTGAAACTTGCCCCCCCAACCCTCCTCTTCCCCCTTCTCAGCTGCTGCTCCTGCTGTTCTTAAAGTCAAGGCATGGGAGAGGCTAATTGCTCACCTGGGCTTGATTGGGGGGAGGCGAGGCTCTTTCCTGCTTCATTGCACTTCCTCGCTGAAGAAGCTGACTTCTGCCGAATTATTTTAGAGTCCTTCTGTAGGTTTTCTTTTGGTGGGACTTTTCCAAACAACTTCCAGCCAGGAGCACTGTGAACAGCAGGTTTGAATGCCGTTGTCCTTTTATTTAAAAAAGTTCCTCATGAAGAATTTGGCAAAGCTGGAGCTCCCAGCTGTCTGGGGCGCTGAGGCGATGGCTCACCTCAAAGGTGTTGCAGGAGTTGAGATTGATGCCCATGAAGGCCAGAGAGGGCAGGCACCCTCCCGGGATTCCTGGTCTGAAGACAGCTACGCCTCCTGGGCTTCTCATGCAGGTCTTGCTCCCGAATGAGCCCCATTCTTCATTGGGGTGGCTCCATCTTTTGCAGCCTGTTCTGCCACTTGTATGCCCAATAAGATGAGCCCAAAAGCTGCACCAATAGTACCACTTATGGCAGGTGGCCAGGATTAGTGTGGGAACCCTCCATGCCAGTTGCAGTAATATGTTCCGACAGTCTCTACAGTTAACAACCACAGTTCAAGGTTTCTTTCTTAGCTGTGCTTGGGAGATAGTAGGGATTGAATCTGGGATCTTCTAGATGCAAGGCAGATGCTCTCCCTCTAAGTTACAGCCCTTTGCCTGATATACTGCTGCTATGCCTGATATTGTTATTCTACAGTTAATTCACTTTAAGTTTTTTGATGCAAACTCCTTTGAGGTGGTTGTTTTTTGTTTAAAAAGATAGTTTGTTCTCCTCTAAATTCCTAGCTAGGCTATTTTACTCAAAACAAAAACCAGAGCAGGAGCAGTCTGAAAAGTCATGGTCAGTGATGGTCTTCTGGATAGTCTGAACATAAGGTGAAAAAATGCATGTTTAAAATGAAAGGTTTAAGAAGTTGCAGTATGGTTGCACTGCATTGTGGTAGTGTCAGAAGCTACTGCAGGCCCTTTGGTTCTCTAGAGAGCTGCCCTGTGGAGTTAATTGTCATTTGTAGTCTCTTCTTGACATGGAAGCATTTTCAGGCTCCGGCGTTGTCTGTTTTGCTATTCGACTCGCCTAGACAGGAAGAGGTATAGAAGGTTTCCTGTCTGAGCTGGGACTTTGCATGAGTGTCAACTATCTTACTAACTCCTGGTTCACCTCTGATAGCTTTCTGTGGCCCAGTCCTGACAGAGAGGAAAGGCTAAAATGGAAATTTCTGAAGCAGTGCCCTTTTTTTTCATTTGTTCTACAGTCATGCAGGGTGCAGGGTTATGGCCTTAAGTTTGTAAAGAGCCATAAGTCTTCTTGTCATTTTTATAGATTAATGGGAGCAAAACAGATTATGCCATTGACACAAGGAATTCTTTAAACCTGTTTTGTTGGCCAATCGTGCTAGAATGCTTTTGAGCTTGTTGGGTAATTGGATTTTGTTGTGGGAATTTAGGGAATGTTTATGCATGGCTCAGTAGCAAAGCGCTTGCTCTGCATGGAAAAAGTTCCAGGTTCAATTCCCAGCACCGTTGGGTGGGGATGGGAATGTCCCTGGTCTAAAATCCTGAAGAGCTGCTGCCAGTCAGTGTAGACAATACTGGGCTTGATGGATCAATGGCCTGACTTGATAAGGCAGTTTCCTCCTATGTTCTTATGTGCTGCTGAGTGTTCCAGATGATGGCTCCTTGCCTTACAGGTTGAAAAGGAATGATGATACAGTGGTACCTCGGGTTAAGTACTTAATTTGTTCTGGAGGTCCGTTCTTAATCTGAAACTGTTCTTAACCTGAAGCACTACTTTAGCTAATGGGGCCTCCAGCTGCCAGAGCACGATTTCTGTTCTCATCCTGAAGCAAAGTTCTTAACCCGAGGTAATATTTCTGGGTTAGCGGAGTCTGTAACCTGAAGCATATGTAACCCGAGGTACCACTGTATTGAAACAAAGGTTGATCAAAACACCCCAGTGTTCTTAAGAGGAAATGGCTTTTGTAAAGGTTTCCCTAACTCATCGTCAGTTTTAGAAAAGGGACTGAAACAATGCTTTGCAATTGTGTTGAGAGACATTCTGAGGAGACAGTTTGTTCACCATATTGCACCATAAAGTCTAAAAGATTTACAGGTCGATCCTGGGACATTAATTTTGTAACTGTATTCATTGTTTGGCTAGCCGGATGACACAAATATGGCTGACTTGATGTGGATGCCAGCTTCTCCAAATATGAAGCAATTATCCCAAGTCATAATATTGAATTCAATTTATGATTTATAAAGTAATATTTTTTTCTGAAGAGCTAGTAGAAATATAATTTTAATTTCAAATGTTTATTTGCATAGGCAACCAACTGTTCAGTGTCCCCCCCCCCTTGATAAACATAAAAAATATGCATTTCCAGACTTTCATTTTGGAGCAGCTTAAAACAGTGGTTTTGTTTTCATGACCTTATTTTTTCAACCAAATGGGCAATTACATGGATTTTTAATACATTAAAAAAGCAAAACAGGGCTTTTGAAATATTATACCAGTGTATCTACCTATGGCTTGGCATAATATAAACACAGGAAACTGCCTTATAACAAGTCAGACCAGTCCTCCGAACCCACTGTTGCCTACACTGACTATCAGTGGCTCACTGTGCTTTCAGGGATACCTTTCAGGTACAGTATATCTAACTGGAGCTGCAAAAGAATGAACCTGGAGCCTTTTGCATGCAAAAAAAAATAACTCTGCAAGTGTCTTTACTGAACTGTTGTGGTGCATGGTAAAAGCTTTTTTGTTTCTATTACTGTGCCCAGATATGTAATGCTGACATGCATGTTAGTGTGTGTGTGTGTGTGTGTGTGTGTATTAACTGTTGATTTTATTTGGATTTTGCAATATTTTAGGCCTTCTTGTTTCAACTTATGACTTTTTGGGGATAATTTTAATGTATATTTAATATTTTGTATTAACTACTTTATCAAAAGCACAACATTTCTTGAACTAGCTCTCACTATATGCTTCTTGATTTGTGTGTATGTGTGTGTATACACACACACACACACACACACACATTATAGATATATGATAAATAAAGAAAAGTGTCTCTTTTTTCCCCCTACCAAAGATTCTCAGAACCTCAGTTGGGTTCTTGTTCCAGGAGAACCACCTGGTGGGGTCCCTCTCCAAGAATTTGGTTACTTCTTTTCATCATAGGGCACCTTTCACTTTGGTTCCCTCCCTTTATTCAGCATTTCTGCCTCTTTCAGCCTTAGTTTTCCATTCCCACCATACAATAGCCTCTACTCCTGTCTGCCCTCCCTCATCACCGCCTCTGGGGTAGAAGCCGCAGACCCTTCCCCACTATTTCTGTCCCCCTTTCCCCACTTCTAGCATAGTGTTTGAGGCAACCCTATTTCTCTCCATAGCATGCCTTGTTCCTCTGTATCTCCTCCTTTTCACTTTGTGTCTCTCTCCCCAGTCTCATATTCTCTTTGCGTTCCTCCTCCTCTGTTGCTCTTCTCCTTCCCCCTTGCTTCCCTCCTGCTTCCTGCTGAGACCAAGACAAAATGCTCTTCTCATTGCTGCTTTTCAACATTCTGTTTGAGGTCCTCAGTGCTCTCCCAATGCACACCATCCCCACAGAACTCCATTTCTGGTCCTGATGCCTCTACCATGCAACGGACTGGCTGTGCAGCTGTTTGGAGAGTGTTGCAGTTGGGATCCTCTCACAAATAAAACAGATCCTCTTGCCAGGGGACAACTAAGTGGGGCAGTGGTCGGCTCATTGCAGTAGAGGAGCGTCAAGCTCAAACTCCACATTTCATCATCCTTTCTCCCTCAACCCCTTCTTTTGTTCATCATCCAGCCTGACAGTGTTCTGCAGAACACGGAATCTTGCACACTATTTTGTAACCTTCCATTTGGCCTGATAAAGGTATTGCACTAATCTGCATGTTGGTTGTTGCTTTAATAAAATTACGGGGGGGGGGGGGGTTAATAAGTTAAAATGATACATTTCCGTTCCATCAGCATGTGTGGAGCAATGGACAGGAATGCAGAGGTCGACCCTATTAAAATCTTTTAAAAATGTGTAAAATCAGAGGAATTGACATATGGACAGAGTGTGTTTCTGTTTTCTCCGAGTGGGTGTTGCAGTGAATGAATTCCATCCCTGACTGGTGAGGGAAACAGTAGGAAAGTAAAGGTTGACAGTTCTTTTATTTATTTATTAAAAAACAAGCCCACACAATTGACGTGGCTTTGTGCTGTATGCAAACTTGCACATCAGGAAAGGGAGGCATATTTTTAAAGTAAGTGTCGAAGTGGGGAAACTGCTCATTTTTCTCAATTCTAATTATCTTTGTTCCAGTGAATTAGAAAATAGAAAATGTAGAAGTCAAGCTGAAGACGGTTTTTAGTTCAATCGCCTGCCAAGTTAAGTCTGACAAATGGTGAGCGTGTATAATTAATGCTGTCATCTTTCCCTAGACCAAAGGGCGACCGCAGTAACTATAGATTGTAATTGTCATCGTTGTCACATAAAATGTGCTATTATTAAGTTCAGGCTGAATTTTATTGCTTCAAATGCTCATAAATTGAACGGTCAGTCATTTAAATTACCAAGTGGAAGAGCTTTGCAGCTTGCTCTAAAGCTACTTCCAAGACAATGTATTTGACTTTTAGACCTCCAGAAACTAATTGGGTTTCTTTAAACAGATGTTAAACAGGTTACAACCTGTAAGAGAAAATTCTCTGACAGGCGCTCCGTTGATGTTTTAAACATTTTTACATTTTAATTTACCAGGTTTTGTGTGAGTGTGCATAGAAATGTAAATGGAGGTTTGCTGCCAGGGCAGTTTTAAAAGATGAGCCGAGTCTCTCGCCTTGCAAAAAGATGTGCTGGGGATGATAAAAAGCCAGGCTGCTGCCATGATGAACAGTGCACTTAACTTCACAACCAAGACAAAGGGGATTGGCTGGTTCACGGGCTGGAGAGGGCAGATGGAATTCAGAATCTGAAAGCTTGGGTGACGTTATGAGTACTTTGGCTTGCCGTGATAGCAAATTTGCATTTAATGACAACTAAGATGGAAACACATTACCATTTGGCAACAATTTGTGCCCTTTTATGAAACTATCAAGGCCACTTCCTAGTAAACATCAGTTTAGAACCACCTTGGATAAGGAGAATTAAAAATTAAGTTAATTGTGTGAAGTCAAAAAGAAACATTGCATTGGGGAATTGGGAGGTAAGAAATGAGGACTTGCATAAATGGGACTCCTGAGTACTCCTGATCCATTTTTCTTTTCAATATTTCTTTGCTGCTGATCATACTCAATCTTGACTGGACTGGTTTTTAGAGGGCTTGGTGGGAAGGAGGGGTTGTCCTCTTAGGTAGAGAGAGAGAGAGCGTGCACATCTGGCTGGCCACTGTGGGAACAGGACACTGGACTAGATGGGCCAATGTCTTATGTTCTTATCACAACTCTTCCCTGCACTTTATCCCCACCCCACCTGTTCCTGGAGGAGTGTTGGTTGGAACACCATCCAGAATAACATGGGAAGCAGCACAAGGAGCTGCTGTTGGAAAGAACAACTATTGCAAATTGCCTTCCAACCTTTTCATGGAAGCTTTGCTGGATCTGTGTCCACTCCACAAAAGGAAGAGGCCAAACAGATGGAGGGATGAATACACATACCTGCATGCTGCTAAAATGTGATGTAAGAGATTGTTTGCAATTGCAGTATCAAAATGAGAAGTCCAAATAATTATGAAACTGCCTGGATATGCTATTAAGGCTTTGGGTTGAACTAACTTATCCCTTAACCTACTCATGTTATCAAAATTCATAATGTACAAATTTGCCTTCTGATTATAAGAGTTGCTGGCACTCGTATAACTGGCAAGGGAAGAGCTAGCACAATCACAATATCAAAGGAGTGGGGCCTGTTGTAAAATAATTGCCATTACCATATTAAACGCCTGCTTGCATGTTGCTGGGGATGAGATTTTTTGACTGTTTTCTTTGTAAGATGCCTGCCTGCCTGCCTGCCTTGCTGAAGACTTGGTGGCAGAGCTGTTGAGCCCTCACTGAACCCATTCTCTGTATCCAGAAGGTAGATGTCAAAAGGGGGAAAGAATCTCGTGACCTGACTCTCAGTAAGAATGATCTTTTATATGAAGACCAATTTCTTATTGACAAAGTTCTGTGAACTTTTTAAAAACAGCATAAAGATTTCATGCATCATGATTTAAGATAAACCCTTTTAGAATAAAGATTTAGAATAAAGGCTTTTCGGAGGGAGATAGTTTCAAGACTTGGTGTCAAGGAGCCGTCGGGTGAGCACAGGTCATCCTCAGAGCAGAAAAGGACTTGAGACGTGAAATGCACTTAGCATTCATTCACCGAAAGTAACAACATAGCAGAGTTCCTCTAGCTCATCTCATCTGGCTGGAGATGTTGCTGAAAATGACCACTGGCCCTTCCCTTCCCCCTCTAGCCTCTCACTCTGGACCCATCCCAAGCAGGCAAAGGCTGCCTTGAGAGGGTAGGCTCCTCCTCTGAGCCTGTCTGGCTGGTTGCTCAGCAACGTGCAGGACTCTCCTTGAGCACAGTGCCAGGCAGGGAGGAGAGCCAGCTGGGCTGGGACTGCCCTGCTGCTGGGAAGCAGGGACAACCTCTGACTTCTCTCTGTCTGAGTCTGTGCTCACACTGAGACCCTCAGCCTCTAGCCCTGTCCTGGAAGGGCCTCCTTCTTATGACCTTCCTTGATCTCTCAAACCTCTTGCTGCTAGCATTTCCCAGCTCATCCCTTCCTCAGACTGCTCCCTAGTGTCCCACCACCATGATCCAATGTCTAAGTCTTCTTCTTTGATGTCCTGTCTAGAGGGCTCTTGGGAACGTGGCACCCACCACTCTTCCTCATCCAGCCAATTCCTGACATCTGGTAGCCATATAAGCTAGTTGTATGATTCACTTACAAGACATTATTACCTGGTACTGAATAATTCAGGCTACAAGCAATTTTCAGGGCTTCAGGAAGGGGGAAAATGTAAACAGCATCATGTTTAGGATGAAACATTATTATTATTATTTTTAGTGTGTTGACAATATAAGATGTGAG